GTTCACTAGTGGACCCCCATTCTCCCTGACCTTCCTCTTGTTATTAATATATTTGAAAAAGTTTTTCTTGTTGGTCTTAACATCCTTTGCCAGATTTAGCYCCAAGCATGCCCTGGCTTTCCTCGTAGCATCCCTGCATTCCCTGACAACGCTCCTGTATTTCTCCGAAGGGGCCTGTCCTTTCTTCCACATTCTGTATACTGCCTTTAATGATTAGTACTTTGCAAATAGACCCAAGGGACAAAACTGGACACGCAGGAAAGAAAGCTGGTATAACCAGCAGCTGTGAGTTAAACATTTCGTGAGGYTCTGTGGGTTTGAAAGAACGTTTAAAGAGAGAATGCAAGATCAGTGTCTAGCAAAAGGGCACATCCAATCCAACATTCAAGCCCCTGCTCCATAACAGAAGGCTTCATTTCAGAGTTTTGTAAAACAAGATCACCAGCATTTCTTTTGCTTTGAGAAATTTGGCCTGGAAGTTTCAAAGATAATTTACTTGAAGAAAAATAGGGAAAATTTCAGCCTGCACAGTTAAAGCGTGTCAAGTTGTAAGCCAGCAAAAGCAGAGTCTGAAAAGAAGTATCAGACAATTTTAACAATGGTGCCACCAACTACACAGGCATTTCTGCATGTCCGGATGGTTTAGTGATACCAGCCATAGGAGAGACCCACAGCCATGTGGTGACTGGGTGTCACGATTGATGCCCTTGGATTTCAGGGAAGGCAGTAGCTTTTATGTGCAATAGGTTTTGATAGTAATTCCAGAGAGACACAGCTCAAGAATCATTACATTCTGAATCAAAAAAAAAAAAAAAAAAAAAAAATTCAAAGGCATTTGGGCTGTTACGCACATACAAGTATTAATCTATAAATAAGATAATCCAATTCGATATGTACATTTCTTGCCTGATTGTATGACACCAGTATGCATTATAGAGCAACATGTAATTCTTTATATTTACTCAGAATTTTTCTTTGGAATATATTCATTCAAAATTTTTCCCCTTTTCAATTTTCAGTAAATCAAATAACTTACTGTTATTCATAATGTTGAGCAGTATCTGAACTTCAGTACTGAGATCTCCAAGAAGACCAGGGACGTTCTCTTGTACTTCTAATTTTGTTGACGGTAAATATTCCAATTCTGTATCTACAAGAATTATTAGCAGATACATTAGAATTTATGCTCCTTACCACCTTGTCCACTTAAATCCAACAAGATACATGAGCTTACCTTTCTGTGCAGAAAATAGAATGTTAGATGAGTTTAATTTCAGTGGAACTGACTGGATCGCAATGTTGGACTGGGTGATGTTACTGGTCAAAGAAAATGCTTCCATTGTTCTTGTGAGGCTGCAGTGAAATAACGAGTAAGAGAAAACACTCTTCCACTTTGTGTTAATACACAGGAACAAGTTCAGTTTCTGTGCTTCCTCCCCAGTTTTATTCTCCAGTGTGTGAGGCAGAGTGCAGAACTCTGCTCTAGCTGCACCTGAGCTCCCCAGAAACCTTGTTTTTGGCATCCTGAGTAGCAGAATTTGGCCTAAACTGCAGCTGGGTAGAGTGAAATCTAGCGTATTGTGAAATTATAATAGCTCGCTGATAAGTGGGAAATTTCTTCTGACAAATACAGGTAAACATACGGGATTCTTCATGGAGAGAGTATGTTACAGCTTTCCCCTTCCATATGCCCTAGTAGTACTTCTGACTCTTCTGAAATTAAATGAAAATGCAGCATGTGTTTTTATATATGTACTGTGTTCTCCCAGTGTCCCAGCAGGCAGCYGGGATCAGCCTGTAAACTATTACATGGTCACAGGCTACTTTATTTCAGCAAATGGTTGGAGCCACTTAATGACCAAACAGGGACCTAACTCCAGAAGTCTCCACTTCTTGTTCCCTATCCTCCTCTTTTTCTTTCAAAGTAGAATTTTTCTCTGGGAAATGGACACCAAAAAGCACTTTGGCTTATTTGTGAAACACTTCTATATTGAAATGGAAGGTCAAATGCAGTTTACTACATTTAATAAAAAAGGCAAAATCTAATGTTACCTTGCTGTAACATTGCTGAGATTATTGTGGTTAAATTCTGTTTCATTGGCATCCAGGAGGTGGCTCACTGTAGCCATTATTGACGCAGATGCCTGAGACAAGCAGGAAACAATAAGTAATATTCAATAACAAATGCAATAAATGATCTGATGTTCTACACAGTGAAGCAGCATGGTAAGACCCCTTAATCACACTGGAATAAATAAAGTAGAGGACGTCATTTGAGAGAATACAAACTTTGAGCCAATGGGTCTATAATATCTTGATTTTGTTAATTTAGACAGTAAAGATTAAATGATGAACAGCAAATGATGATAGACGTAGAATTTCACATATATGCAAAGCAAGAGAAGTGAATGGAAACAGTTGTGATTCCACAAATACACGCTCAGGTCCACGATTGAATAACTCATCTTACCACCAAGTGAATGCATTTTGCTGTGTCATTAGGTAAAATTAACAGGAGTTGCTTTGAAGAGTGTTCCTTCYGCTTGTGGAGCAGAGGGCAGAATCAATAGCCATATCACAAAGCCGTAAAAATCTTACTTCAGTCTTAGCAAAGCCTCACCTGAGAGTCTGTTGAAATATTTGGCTTTTTCAAGATGTTCACTGCAATATTAGCAGCAATCGAAATGCTCTGTGTGGTCAGTTGGTCTGGCATGGAAGTAAGGATCTGGGTGTTACTTGCAATAGCTGAAATGTTGCTGAAGTCCGCATTTTCCACCTTTTAGAAAATTGCCAAGAACATGAAAAACAGCTGACAACTTCATAACACTCTCACATAAAATCAAATTAGAGAAGAAACCGGTGGTCTAAACAGTTGCAGTCCACATGAAGCAAACAGAGCTTGCTTAGAGGACTATTTGATGTACTGGAAGAGCCACTGGAAGATGAGAATTTTTTTAATTGAGTTAAATTTAATTAAATTCCAATTTAATTGAGATTTCTCATGTTGCAGCTTGTACCCGTTGCCTCTGATTCCTTAGCCTTCCCTTGCCTGCACTTCTGAATCTCTAAACTTCAGGAGACCATTCACAATCTTTGAAGAAAGCAGCACTACTTTGTTGAAAAGCCATTAGAGTAATTAAGAAATATTATATGATATAAATCAGCTCTTTTTAGCACAGTGCTCACAAACTGCCCTCGGAATATTAGCCTCCCTTCCATACACTGTGTGTAGTGTCAAATTGTAGAAAACAGAAATGAAGTATTCAAGCACTGGAGACAGGGATGATAACTGGTAGAAGCTCTGGATGGCTCCAGTTATCACTTAATGGGTAGAGCATATATGTCTATAATATTTTAAGAATGCAAACACAAAAAAAAAAATGAGGAATCTCTGTGTGACGTGAAGGAATAGCTGGGTAACAGAAACACTTAAAGAAAACTCACTAAAGATTAGGAGAATTTTTTTATAACACTATAGAGACCAATAAAGCTATTTAACAAGTTATCCTTTTTCTAATCCACTGATAAACTCAATGGATATCTTAAATAACTGAGTTCTTCTCAAACTGTTAATATTGGGAAAATGTCAAAATCAAGATTCAGCCATTAGCAAATAAAGTGTTTTGAAATTTYTAAGTGACAGGAAACAAAAGTGAATATATTGTGTAGAAATGAAAGAATTTTGCACTTACTGTAACTGGAGGTGTATGGTTTGACTGGAAAACATCCACATGTGCACCATGAACAAACAGTGCACCTCTGTTCACTTGTCTAACTTCTGACTTGAGGCATCACCTTGTTTTCTGAGTACATATTTGTACTCACAGGAACAAAATTCTTTTAAACCTGTTCATTCTTGATTACTAGCATATAGGCATTTTCCTCAGAGATCCCAATACTTGCCTTCGTAAGAATCAAGTTCACTAGATGGCAGCACAACATTAAAAATTATAACAAACAAAAAATATCTAGTGGCAGCAGACGAATTTTCTGCTATGATACTTATGATTTGTTTAGTGAAGGCTCTATAGAGCCTTCTCAGAAAGTATAGCCTTGATTTTGACTTGTCTTATTAAAAGCTAAAGACTAAAGAAAGGTGAAGTGTCGGGTTGGAAATAACAATATTCATGCAGGGAAAAAAAAAAAAAAGGAAAAGCACTCCAAGGAATCGGCACTGTCCCTTACTTAAAAGGGCTGCAATGGCTTTATTTTTATTTATTTTTTAATAGGGACTAATGCTAAGGAGCAAAAGAGCAGAACTGGAAGARGAGGAACAGTCCCTGTCCGTCATGGGATTGGTCCTGCTCGGCACAGCAGTTGCACACATAAGGCAGAGCAAAGCCTTAGAGAGAGGCTGAGTAACTTCGGGATTTTATCAGGAAGAGCTTGATGCTCACACAAGAGATTTTGCCTTTGAATTCCATGGGGGACAAAATTGTCTCATYCTTGGTCAACTAATCACAGTTTGGAATGGAAAGGCTTTGCTCCTAACCCTGCCTGACATACTGGCTTTACCCTCCCTTTGTTCTTCATGCCAGCCTTGACCCAGTGCTGCTGAGAAGGCTTTGGTGGTTAATTTTTCCTGATGCAAAGTTTTAAGAAACGTGGATAGCTTACATTCTCTAAACAGAAAAACACAACATACCTAAGTGCTGCCTCAGTTATCTATTGATTTTTTTTTCTTTCTTTCAYTTGATGCTGTAGGATCTCAGCCACTTTTTAAATAGTATGTCAAGATAGAATTGAAGATTACCTGTGATRCTAGGGAGTCCAGATTTTCATTGCAATTCAGAATCTGGGGGGGTTGTAAAGTAGGGGTTTTTCTCACCCTGGTGCACATCCGGATCGCTATTGAACGGTTGCCTGTAAGTTCATAAAAGCAAAAAGCTCTGAATTTAGCACAGAGGCCCAGATGAGCTGCACATTGGGACATAACACCCTGGTAACCAGTGTTATCCACATGTGTGTCAGCATTACAGGTGAATGACCATCAATTATTTAATTAACAATTGTTCTTCTTAGAATATGTATTTTTATATATATGTATATGTATGTATTTTTATATATATATATATATGTGTGTGTGTGTGTGTGTGTGTGTGTGTGTGTGTGTGTGTGTGTGTGTGTATATACATATATATATGCTGTTCTACCTTTAAGGAGGGACCTCACATCTCCTGATCTAATCATCTGGTATCTTTGGGTAAGAAAATTGGAATGGAAAGAAACACATACCATTCACAGTGTCATGGTCACATTTTTCTGCAGAATTGCTGTATCTGCCCACTATAATCCGTTGAAAGGTAAGGTTTTTTACAATGCCTCCAGAAATGCTTTCGGTGTAAATACTGGCTTCACAGAAATTAACTGCATAGAAGGAAAGAACATATGWCTAGATCAAGTGGTCAATTTTCAAAAGCAAATTATAGCTCATATCACACTATCCTGTAGTAACGCCAACTTCACTTGCTGGGTTGCAAATGCTGGGTTTGGAAAAAAAAAAAATGTTATCAGAAGTGTTCCTGACTACTTTCTTCTTCCCATGCTTGGAAATAGATTCTCTAGAATGTGCTCTATGACATTTCCAGGGCCTGAGGGGAGCCTGACCACCTTAGGTCCCATATAGACCCATAGTTCGGTGGCTTTGCTGGCTTCCTTCTCACAGATAAAGAAAACAG